GACTGCAGGGCAGAGGGGTAATTAGCCATGGGTGGGGCTGGGACTTGCTGAGACCCCATGGCCACCTCATACTGCAGCCATCCCACCCCCCTGGCTTCCCCCACTCTCCAGCCACTCACCTGGAAGGCTAAACCTACCTGATGACTGGCCTCACTCTCAGGTGGCTCCTGCAGCCCTGGTGAGCCGCATGAATTTCGCTCTCCCAGACAGTGAATTCACAGCGCCACCCAGCCAGGACCCTCCGTGTTTACATCACTGAGAAGCAAGTGCCCTGGCCTGGGCGGGTCCCAGCTCTCCTCCACCCACAGACTTTGCTCCTGCAGCTTTCACATCTGTCTTTTGTCTCAACCATCTTCCCGATATCCATCAAACCCAGCAGTCCAGAAATAAACATGGTATCTCATCTTTCACTTTTTCAGTTTTGACTCGTATTAGTACATGTTTGCAGTATGTGATGGTCACACTCCTCATGGGAGTTGGTACTGGTATATAACACATCTTAGTTCTTTTTTATTCCTTCCTGACCCCTACCTCCCTGATCCCTCCATCTCTTGGTCTTCTTCCCATTTACAAAAGATCTATCTCCCTATTTCCTATTATCTGTCTTTTACTTTGCTCTTTATTTATATTTTGATTTCTCATATAGGAAGTACCATGCGCAATTAAGCTTGTGTGTCGGATTTATTTCACTTAATATTAATGGTCTCAAGGTGCATCCATTTTCCTACAGATGACTCAAGTTTATCCTTCTTTATGGCACAGTAGTAGTTCATTGGGTATAAATACATTTTCTTTATCCATTCATCTGTTGATGGACATATAGGCTGCTTCTAAGATTCACCTATTATGAGTTGGGCTGCTATAAACATGGATCACTGTAATATAATGTCTTTAACCCTTTTAAGAAGATACCTAGACGGAGAATAGTTGAATTGGACATAATTTCTAGTTTCAGTTTCTTTGGGAATCTCCATAGTGATTTCTACAGTGGTTGTCCTCATTTACACTCCTATTAACAATGTAGAAAGGTTCCTTTTTCCCCACAGCCTCACCCGGACTTGTTATTGTTGATTTATTGATGATAGCCATTCTTTCTGGGGTAAGATAGAATTCCAGTGTTGTTTTAATTTGTATTTCTCTAATGGCCAGAGATGTTGAGCATCAGTCTTTCTGTTTTGTTTGGGTTTGGGTTTGGGTTTGGAGGGGGCTATTTTAATATTTTTATTAAGGGCTACAAAAATATATAAAAAGATAAAGAAATGTGATGCCATGATATTTTTCATAATAAGAACTTTCTTTCACCACAGTGTTCCCCTCTGCAATGGTGTTCAAGTCACAGGATTTGGTGTGTCTTAGAGTTTATACTTTTATTGCTATTGCTAAGATGGCATATTTGCTGATATTATTTGGCTTTCTCTGGATTCCCTTTGCATCATTGGCAATACTGAGGCCCATACCCAGAGGACTGAGCACTGGGCCAAGTACACTGCCACTTCCCATCCCAAATAAATGGAGGTGATTGAATCTTGGGACAGAGGCAAAGACCGATAGTTAGCATGCCCAGAATTCATCACTGAAAAGCAGACATTAAAGAGGTCTCCACACTAGCAACAAAGTCTTCTGCTATAATCAACCCACAGACTTCAGCACAGCTGGGGCATTTAGCTCAGTGGTTCAGGTTCCTGCCTCACAAGCGCAAGGTCCTGAGTTCGATCCCCGGTACCAACAAAACAAAGCAAAACAAAACAAAAAGAACTTCAGCACAAAACAATAGAAACAGGAGAAGACAAGGTGACAAAATGCCTCCCCAAACTCCCAGCTCCCATGGTGATATCTTACCTTAAATAAACCTCCCTTGCTCCACCCCTTCTTCCACCCACCCTCTCTGTGGCCTAGGGGCTCCACAGCCCCACTTCTGGAAGAGGGGCCCAGGCTCCACCCTCGCCTCACCCTCCCGACCCTGCACCGCCCCTTTCCCTCCAGCCCAGAAACGCCTGGTGAAGCTCACCGTCCAGCTGTGCTGCCAGGTCCCGTCTCACTTTCACTCGCTCACCTCAGCAGCGCTGGACGCTGGTCCCTCCTGGGAGCCCTTCTCTTTGGTTCTGTGACTTTGTCTCTCCTTCATCTCTGGCTGGTGATCACTCCCACGTGCCTGTCTCTCTCCCTGACCTTGTCCCGGAGACCAGAGTTTCATTTCTGAGCCCATTTAGAGGTCACATCAGCTTCTCAAACTGAACTTGTATGAAACTGAACTCCTGATTCCAACCCCTCCTAATCTGCATCTTCCCCAGCGCCCCCATTTGTGTAAGGGGGGCTTTTGCCCCAAACCCGGGAGTTGAACCTGGCCTCCTCTCCTAGCCTCCTAGTGCACATCTAATTCCTCAGCAAATCCTCTTGGTCCGCCTGAAATGCATATGGTGACCCCACTGCTTCTGCCCCTCCACCACGACCACCCCTAGAAGCTTCATTTTTTGCCAGGACCAGTAGGAGCCTCCTCAGTGACCAAGGTCTGTTCTCTCACTGGTCTGAATATCCCTCCAAGTCCTGACTGCCCCCAGGCTTGACGGGGTCAGCCCCATCTCTTCGCAGCTCCCCTCCCCACTCTGCCCACCCACATGGGTCTCCTGGCCTTTTCCTGAATGCCATGCGTGCGCTTCATCCAGCCTTGAGACTTGCTGTTTTCTGTGGCAGGAACTCCCTGGCCCACAAACCACACGGCTCCCTCCTTCACCTCCTCCAGGGCTCTAATCACACCTCTTCCCTGCAGAGAGGCCCCTGACTCCTGCAGTATTCTGTCACTCACTGTCCCTGCCCTGTTTTATTTTATTTTTTTCATAGCACCTACACTCCCACTTCGTTTTTTCACTTATATATGTATTTTTTAAAGCTCTGTCTTTTCTCACCTGGAAGGTGAACTCTACAAGCAGAGTTCTTGCCTGTCTCACTCATTGTGCATTGTCTGTGCCTACAACAGTGCCAGGCAGATAAGGCCCTCCCTCATCATTGAGTAGATGGATGATGGATGGATGGGTGGATGGGTGGATGGTAGATAATGGTGATGAATGGATGGATGGAGGATGGATAGATGATGGGTGATGGATGGACGGATGGATGGATGGATGGACGGGTCTTTATCCACAATCCCAAAGGACAACACACAGAGGGCCAACATAACACACCAATATCTCTTGCACTTGAATACAACTTATTTTATTTTTGCTGTACTGGTGATCAAACCCAAAGCCTTTGCACTGAGGTACGTCCCCAGTCCTTTAATTTTTTTTTTTAATTTTGAGACGGGCTAGGCTTGAACTTGGACTCTTCCTGCCTCGACTCCCCAGGCACAGGCACACAACACCATGTCCAGCTACCTAAACACAACTTTTCTTTCCCTAAAGTCCACTCATTTATATTTCCAAAATCTTCAGTTTGTAACCTCCGGGGAGAGCAAATGAGAAACACATTGTCTTGAAGATGGTCTGAGCCCTCTGGCTTCTGTGGGAGGCACCTGCAGTCCACTTCTTTCAGATGTCTGGGGAGAGAATTCTTCAGCCCAAGGGTGCTGGAGGATTCCTTCTGGCTTTGACTGAGCTGAGGCAGTGGCAACATTGGTGGGAGGACCATTTGCAGAGGCTGTGGGTCCAATAAATCCCCCAAAGGTGAAGCTTGGGAAGTAGCTGGGGCTATGGGCCTCTCTGCCTTCCTTCACTTGGAAACAATCACTTGGATGGTCGTCCTGATGTGCTCCTACCCACCCCTCCGCTAGTGTCCTTCCCTATAGGACACATCTTTCAGAGCTAATGTTATTTTTGAAGTTTTAAGGTGGCTGGAAACACGCAGTAGTGTCTGCCTTATTTTAGAGTTGTCCGTATCCTTACCTTCTCTGTCCAATCATCCAATCTGAGGGTTTCTTAAGATTGAAACTAGGCAGCAGCACCTCTGTGCTGGGCCCACTGCTGTGCAGCCAGAAGCTGTGATGTCTCTAGGGATGCCCAGACCATGGGATGGGGTATGGTCCTGGCAGGGTCAGGCCCAGCATCAGGCCCAGCCACAGACAAGGCCTTGACCTGGAGAGGATATGCATTATCTGATCTAATAATCTTCTTAATGATCCTGCCGAGGGAATACTGATATCCTTACTTCATAGAAGGGGAAACTGAGTCTCTGGCCACACTGGGAGTACATGGTGGAGCTGGGTTTCTCCAGGTCTCTATAAGGCTGAAGCTAGCATTCTCATGCCCTGCAGCAGACCCATCTATTTTACTTAAACTCTTTCTCCAACAACATGGCTACTAACTAAATGAAAGCAGGAATAAAAGAATTCCATGGCATGGGTCCATGCATCCCAGGACATCCTCTGCAGGGGACTCTCGCTGTGGCAGCCCAAGTGTTTCAGCTCCACTTGACCCACAGGCTAGTGGGAAAGGAGCAGGGAATGAGGGAGACCTGCTGCCCACGACAGCCAGCCTGTGCTTTGGGCTGCATGGAGAGAACAGCTTTGAACCCAAACATTGCCTCACCAGTACAGAAAGGGCCAGACCTCTGCTTCCTTCAAGAACTCCCTCCCACTGCCCGTGGGCTCACCAGGAAGTCTGGGGCCACTCCATTCCAGCCACAGCCCAGCCTAAGGTGCTGTCTCCAGCAGGCTTCTATGAAATGATTGCATAGTTGGGGGTGTCATAGAGCCCCCTCCTTGGGTGCCCAGCTCTAGGTTGGGCAGAGAGAGGATCCCAGGACAGGGCTATGGGAGAGCCTGGGGCTGTGTGGAACTGGGAAGGAACTGGGAAAATGAGGAGTCAGCTGCAAAGGGTCAGAGCCAAATGGGGTTGGGCTGTGTCACTGAGGGTCAGATGGGGCCCTGAGGCTGCCTGACTCTGCCCCACCAAGGTGTCTACACCACAGAGCTGTCACAGCTGCCAGGGTCACCTTGGGCTTCCCAGGGGAGAGGCTGTGACCAGTGTCAAAGTCCAGCCACCTACATATTGGGCCCTCTGGATTTCCTAGATCTGCCCCACCCCTACCCCCAGCCCAAGCTCTGCAGCAGGCTCCCTTGGCAAGCTGAGGTCCTGTTGGGAGTCCCCCACTGCCCTGCCCCTGTGCTCCTCCCTCAGACAGCTGAGCTGGGGGCCCAAGGTGTAGCAGTGGATGGCTGCAGGCGGGAAGCCCTTGAAGGTAGAGCTCATGGAGTAGGTGTAGGCACCTGTGGAGGGGAAGGCTAGCCAGTTACCTGTGTCAAGCTCCGGCAGCTGCACCTCGGAGAAGAGCTTGTCAACTGCGGCATCACATGTGGGGCCATACAAGATGCAGGGGACAAGAAAGGGGTCTGAGAGGGACTCCTGCAGGGAGCAACGGGGAGGATCAGAGAAGGAGGAGTCCCACCAGGGTCCCATCCCCTTCCCCACGCTTCGGCCGGCATATCCCCAGGGCACAAGTGACAATAGGCCAGCAAGGACCATGTCATTCAGCCACTGTGACCGGTGGTTGTGTGGCTACTGTGTGCCAGGCAGGGTCCTTGGCCTTTGGGACACACAAGCTGAACTAAACCGAGACGCTGTCCTCCTGGAGCTTATCTCTTATTCCAGCCCTGTCCATCCACAAAGGCCAAACACACAGGCTGTATTTTCCCATCTATATAATGGAAAGATTCTACTCAAGGAGCACTTGGAGTGCTAGATCTCCAAGTTTACTGTGCACTGAAACTGCCCAGGGAGCTTTAATAAAAGACAGGTGCCTGCATCCCAGGTCCAGAAATATTCTGATTTAAAAGGTCTGTGAGTAAGGCCTGGGCAGTGGGAGCTTTAAAGCTTCCCAGGTGATTCAAATGTGAAGCTCAGTTTGAGAACTGCTACTTTTGATGTCTCCACACCTCCAACGTTCAAGGGTTCTGGAAAAACAAACACACACAGCGCATATAGAGAGACACGTGTGCAAACACCTGGAATCAAACAAACATTCATGCTACCTCTGCAGACCCACACACCTGTGCACCACCAACCTGGACAGGTGTAAATACATAGGCCTGCACTGGGAAATGCGTACACCCAGAGGGGCCTGCAGAGCCTTGTGTACACTTGTGCTGTGCTGATCGCAGAGCCCTGGATTAGCTGAGCTCCTGTCTCTTAGGGCAGGGGTTTGACTTGGTACCAAGGCTTGGGATGTGCTGCAGCCACTCAAGACCCCCTCACTTTCACCACAATGGGCGTCCTAGGGACAGGGTCCCTGAGGAAGATGTGGAAGGTGCCATAGCAGCCCTCAGTGAGATAGTACACCAGCTTCCAGTGGCCTCCTAGGAGCAGGAACGGGCAGGACTGAGGAGAAGCTTGGCCAGATCTCACTACCGAACCTGAGCTCCAGACCCTCTAATCGTGCTGGTAACTCCTGTTCCCTGCCCAGGAGCCTTCCCTGGTCCTCTGTCCCATTCAGGGCTGGGGTCTGTCCCCAGGGTCTCCGCTGCCCCTCTGCCCCACCTACCAGAGCAGTAATAGCAACAGTAACTAGCCTGTGATGAATTGTGCAGCTTAGGCACTGCCCCAACCCTCCCTCCACAGGTATAATTAATGTAATCCTCTTAGCCACACTGAGCAAGTACAGTGAGAACTGCTTCGGGCCAGGGATTTAGCTCAGTGGTTCTGGCGCCTGCCTTGCAAGCAACAAGGTCCCGAGTTCGATCCCCGGTACCAAAAAAAAAAAAAAGTAATATGAGAACTGCTTCACAGTTGGGAAACAGAGTCACATCAGAAGTCCACAGGAGAATGTGGTGGGGCTGGTATTCACCCCCAGGATGCAGCTTGGAGTTTTTGGCCTTCGCCTGGACCAGGTTCCCTGAGCAGCTGCTGCATGTGAGGCAGAACAAGGACCAAATGACTCCGTTCCATTTTGGTTGCTCTTTGAGGATATACTGATTTGTCAGTTTCCAGTTTCCTTCCTCTCAGGGAAATATAGAGATAGAGATTTTTTTTTTTTTTTTTGAGATAGGGTCTTGCTAAATTGATAAATTTTCCAGGTGGGATGAAACTTGCAATCCTCCTGCCTCAGCCACCCAGAGTGCTGGGATTATAGGCATCCACCAGACCCAACAGACTGGCTTATTTTTATTTTCTTGATACTGTGGCATCCAGGGCCTAGCTGATCCAGGAGAAGTGCTCCTCCCAGGACTATCTAATTCCCGAGACAGCAAGGGACTCCTTCAAGTGCCTTTCACCTGTAAACCCAACAGTCACAGCTCAGCCCAGCCCACTGCCTCCTTTTCTGAGCTCTCTTAGGTTGAGGCACTTTGTCGGAGGAGTCCCTACTCCCTACACCCCAGAGCCCACTGAATAATTGACCAATATCTGACCATTCCTTCCCTCAAAACCCATAGTGAGGACTTGAGCCCACACTTTCCCCTCTCCTGCCTCCTGCCCCCTCCTGGGGCCTCCCCACCAGACCCTGCGTGGGCCTCCTATCACTGAGAACTGTGTAGACAAAGCCTTTCCTTCGTGACAGCTGTCCCTGTGTCTGTATGTCTTACTCCATCCATTTAAAGCAGGTCCCAACTCTAACGAGTGTTGAGTGCTGCACGATTCTCGCCTCCCTCCATCCGCACACTCTGCTTCCACTGATATGGCCAAGGAAAGCGCACAGCAGCTTCCTTCCTCACCCTCCAGATACATACTGAGCTGATGCTCACCTACAACCCCCAAACCCTTTGACATGACCTTTTGCCAAGCCAGTTTCTTCCAGCCATCTTAGTCTGTCCTCAGAACATTAGTTCTTAAATCTAAACTTGGGCTGTTACATAATTTCTGTTACTATTTGGGGCATTTTGGCTATTATGTAGATGCCCAGAACTTCTTGAATATTGATATTCTCCTCTCAGATTTTCCCTGCCAACTTCAATTTTTCTTGTCAACTTCTCCTCCCTTCTCTTGAAGCTGCTACCACAGAGTCTCCCTCTCCAACCCCAATCCCCGAGGTCTGAGTCTGTTCCGGATAGAGTTCATCTTGATACCCCAAGGCCAAGAGCTCGGCTCTGCTGGCGTGTGGGGCAAATTCGAGGGCACCAGCACCAGAGTCAGACGGCCCAGAGGCCAGCTGTGCCATTGACTATCTGTGCACAAGTCGCTTCCCCTCTCTGAGTCTCAATATCTCCACCTATTAAATGGAAATGACCCAAAGCCACCTCCCAAGTCCATTGAGCAGAAATGAGATAGCATATGAACCTCATGTGTCCTTGGTCCTCACTAATGAGTACCTCTTGCTATTGTGGACATAAGAAATAATGAGCCCAGATACCTATAACTCAGACTTCAGAGAATGATGCCCAAAATCGTGTGCTTTCCATCACAATATTCTTGGGGTTTTGGGGGCGTTTTTTGGTACCCGGGATCAAACTCAGGACCTTGTGCTTGTGAGGCAGGCGGTGGCACCACTGAGCTAAATCCCCAGCCCTCCATCACAATATTCTTTACTGAGAAACTCTCTAAGGAAAGGAAATTGTTTGGCACAAGTGCCTTTGGGATTATGAAGCTGTAGGCCAATCATTTGTCAAAAGGATAAAGGAGGAGATTAAGTGATTTGTAAATATTTACATGTCAGTTATCACCAAGCAACAAAGAAATAGCTCTAACGCAGTGGCTTAGATCCAGGAATATTCTCTATTTCTTCCTGAAATTGAGTTTCTAGTTAGTTCTCTATGTGCGAACGGCAACTCCACCTCCCTCCTACCCATACAAGCAACAAACTATTGAGCCATGTGTGGTGCTACAGGCCTATAAATCCCAGCATTCTGGAAGGCTGAGGCAGGAGGATGGAAATTTTGAGCTCAGCCTCGGCAATTTAGCAACTTAGTGAGACCCCCCCCTCTCAAAATAAAAAGTAAAAAAAGGACTAGGGATGGAGCTCAGTGCTAAGGCCCTTGGTTCAATCCACAGCACTGCCAAGAAAACGTAAAAACCAATTGAAGAAATCTGTGGTGGGCAAGTCCACTGTTAATAAAGTCACTGTCATCCTGTGGTTGGTAACCTTTGGGATATGATTATAGCAATATTGCCTTAACTTATTTGTTTTGAGAATTTGTATGCACTTCCCTCGTTTAGTTGTAAGAATTTGTATGTGTTGTTTTCCTGGGGATATAGCTCAGTGGTAGAGTGCTTGCCTAACATGCATGAGGTCCTGGGTTCCATCTGTAGCACTGAACAAAAAAAAATTGTACCTGTTGTCACTGTATGCTTGCTAAAGAGTTTATCTGTTTTACTTATAGGGTGCACCTTAGAAAAAGGGTGCCTGGGACCTCGTGGGCTTCACCCTTATAAGGCAGCATAAATGCATTATGGCTGCTCAGTAAGCTAGACCTTTGTGTTAGTTCCTTACCTCCCAGTCTACATCAGAACAACAACATAGCAATACTAACAAACAGGTCCATTCCCAAACCCAGCTCTAATCCTCTTTCCTGCTAATTAAGCACCCAGAAGTGAAGGCCAGATGCTCTGCACATCTCCCGACCCAGTGCCCTCTGACCTACCCACCGGGCTCAAGCACGGCCTTCTCTGAAATGATATTGACAGCAGTTGTGCAGACGCAGTCACATAGAAGCAGCCCAGCTCCTCGGTGACCTCGATGCCAGTCCCCTCAGGGAAGTCCTGGGCCAGGCAGCATTGATCTTTCTCCCCAGCCTGTACTGTGGCCAGTCCCTATGCCGTGGGCTTGGTCTTCATCCCGTGACAGTACCATGGGGAGGTATCCGTGCTTCCCTTTTACTGAGAAGGACACAGTGGCCCAAGAGGTGATGGGACCCAGGCACCCAGGAAGTGCATAATCTGCAGCATCCTGAAAACTGTGAAGTTGGGAATATTTAAATCAATACACAATCAGCAAAAACAAAATGTTCCTTGGGTTGAGCACACTTCTAGCTGACTGTAGCTAACCAGGGACAGCCACTAACCTGTCTAAAGAAAAACATGGAGCCATACATGCACTCGTGTTCACACATGCACACAGCCACATATGCACAGTCAGGCAAAGGCCTCTGAATAAAGACAAATTCCAGGGCATGCACACAGACTCCCAGTTACACAAGTGCCTTGTGCTCACACAGGCTTCCACACATGAAAGTTGTCCTCCTCCCCAGGCAGGGACACCCAGGAACCCTCTCATCCTCCCCTGGAGCTGTCCCTCACACCTCCTCAAACTGGTTTTGCAGCCCTCCACTCCAGGGAAGCCCCCTCCAAGATCCAGGAGACCCATGTTGTGGCCGGCTCCACAGAGCATCTCAGACATGCAGTAGGGATCTGAGACAGCTTGCAGGTAGCTTGGGGGCATCAGGCAGTCGGAGCCCACATGGAAGCTGAGTCATGACAGATGCTGGGAGACACAGATGGAAACTCCAGGGTCAGCATGAAGGCAATGCATACAGAAACCCCCACACCAACGATGCAGAGGAGAACAGCACAGATCGGACACCTCAATACTATACTGGCCCACATGGGCACCCACAGAAATGTGCAGCCTTGGATATTGTTAAGGCTTGTGTCTAGATGTTCCCCCTAAAGTCTCATGCAGGCATAGGTGAGGCTTTTTCAAAGATGGCTGGATCTAGAGTGTGTGATGTTGGGATTGATTCATGGTGCAATGCTAGGCTCAAGGGCACTAGGATTAAGGGTGTGAGTGCTACCCGCCCTAAGTAGTCTGGATAAAATAAAGGAGACAGAAAGACAGGGACAGAAAGACACTGTTAAGGTCCCTTATTGCTTTTGCTGTCTTCTGCATCCAATGAACTGTTTCTCCTCTGCAATGCCCCTCTGCTATGTGCCACTCTGCCTTGGAGCCAGCCAACTATGGACTGAAACCTCTACAAACTGTGAGTTACAACAAACCTTTCCCTCTTTAAATTTGGGTGTCAGGTATTTTGTCACAGCAACAAGAAAAGTAACTAAGATATACACAGTATCCTCAGAGATGTGCACATGCCACAGGACCATCCTTGGGTTGGGGGACTCATGGGTGGGTGGATGTCACCCCCCTAGCTGTGCCTCCCATGGCTCCATTGCAGAAGCTTCCCATTTCCTCTGAGGGCATGTCATCCAAACCCCAAATCTCAGTACCCTCCAGAAGCAGGCTGAGTAATTGATCAGAGCCAGGCACGGCAAGATGAGTCAGCTATTCACATCTGTGAAAATTTAAAGGGCGCCCAAACACTGAATAACCTAGATAATAACATTTTATGCAGTGTTTTCAACAACAAAAGTAATGCAAACATCTGCAAAGAATAAAACAAAGCAATTTTAAGCAGAGGGAGGAGACATGGGCTCTATCTATCAAAAACAATTTTAAATAAAGACAATATCAGTAATGGTGATTTGATCCCAAGACAAAAGAGAAAATCAGTGAAACCAATCCAGTCTTTATTTACAATGTCAATTTTTTTTTTCATCACAGATCCTTCTGCATTAATTCTGATGCAGAGCATGCCAGGCTCTGTCCAGTGTCTGCACAGAGGTGGTGCTTGCCTGGCACCAGGGTGCCCTGGGCCCATTGATCCAAGCCTCTATGCTTGCTGCTTGGGCCTCTCCCAGTTACCATGTGGGGCTGCATTCTTTGTGGTTGCTAAGGCCGGGCTCCATTTGCCAGAGCCACAGAGACGCCCTGGTTTGCCTCCCCTGTCTCCACCTGCACCTCTTTCAGTCTCACACAGCCCAGGGGTGGTATTGGGCTACCTTGGTCAGCTCCTCCTCCTGTCAGAGGCTAGGAGCTGCACCTTGTGGCAGGCTGCATACTTGATGTAGGACACAGGTTTTGGGGGATTGCAAGAGGAGGATTTGCAGCTGATGCAAGAGGAGGCCATGCCTAGGCTCAGTACCTGCTCCAGCTCCCCCTGGCATGGGTGAAAGCCAAGTTGGGGGTTTCCTTGCTGCTCCTCTACTCTTTGTTTGTTTGTTTGTTTGTGTTTGTTGGAACAGGGTCTCACTATACAGTGTAGTCTGGCCTTGAACTCACTATGCAGCCCAGGCTGGCCTCGAACTCGTAGCAGCCTCCTGCCTCAGCCTTCTGAGTGCTTGGATTACAAATGTGCACCACCATGCCCAGATTCAAACCCTCTACTTTTTGAGGACAGAGACCTTGGCCTGGGCCTTATTAAGGCTTCCCTTGATTGAATCCCTACTCTGTACCAGGCACTGCACTTGGAAAGTAGAGTTGGCTCCATTTTAAAGAGGAAGAAACTGAGGCTCAGGAAGATGAACTGGCTGTGCCAGGGCAGGAATTCGGTCTGTGGCTTGAAGCCTGTGCTCCTTCTATTTCCTGGCTCAGGCTGTCTGCCCTAGTTACACGGACCATAGAAATTCATTCATTTATTCAAAAACAACTGAGCACCACATGTGCCAGGCACTGTTCTGGGTGCTGCAGGGCCCAGCCTAGGACTCCTGACCATTGCTATTCCCCTAGGAGGTGACAGGCCCTTGGGGGAGGCAAGAAGCAGTAGGCAAGTCACACCTGGCTGGCACAGTCGAAGCCCACACCCAGGGTGGCCAGGATGCACAGCAACCCGGGGCTGGCCAGCACATCCAGGTCGACCACCATGAAGGGGTCTTGGTGGTCCTGCCAGGGCAAGGACACAAGGCCGGAAGGCTGGGTAGTGGCTTACCTTGTTTTATCTTCTCAGCTCTATGAAGTAAGTACTATTGTTCCCCTCCTTTTAGAGATGGGAAAAGAAAGTCTCAGAAAGGCAAAGTCACTGGTTCAAGGACATATAGTCAGCGCATGGCAAAGAGAATTTGACCCAGGGTCTTTTAACTCTTAAAACAAGGAACAGGAAGGTAACCGTCTTCCTAGACCAAAGCCACAATGGCTTGGCCCTGGGTAAATCCCAAGTGTTAGAGGAGAGGACTGGAGGGAACAGATGAGCTCATCCGGGATCCCCAGCAGGGCGGGGTCTTGGGAAGAAGAGCTGTCTAGTTGCCTTGCAAAGCCATAAAATAGGAAGCCTTTTTCTCACCTACCACTTCTTTAGGACCACCTGCTGGGCAGATGCCCCAGGCTCCAGGCCAGTGAGCCCAGTTGGCCATGGGCTTCCAGGGGGCCCCAGACGGTCTTTCAGGCCCCCCAGAGGGGTACTCATCCTTGAGACTGTAGCCGAGGCCTCTGCCAGGCATAGTTCTGGCATCCTGGAAAGGGCCTGCTCTGAGGACCCAGCCTCCTCCTCCCCCTAGTTCCCTGCTGGCCCAGGAGGTGGGGCTCCTAGGTTGGTGAGTCCTTGCCCCCGACACTCTCAGCCCCATAGAGCCCCATGGCGCCTTGGTGAATTTTCCCATCTGTAGGACAGGCCAGTGTCTAGACCCCAGATCTGATGTGGGCAGCGAGCAAGATACACAGGTCTTCCAAGGAATGGGAACATGGATCTCTTCCAGGCTTCTTCACACACAGAACATCAGATCAGAGACCTAGGAGATGACCAGGTTCTTTACCAACAGGTACAAGGGGAGGAGACTTGCCCCAGGTCAGTGCTGGTGACAGCACTGGGACTGGAACCCCAGCTCCCTGGAGCAGCCACTGGACCGGCTGCTGGCCACAGATGCCTGAGACCAAAGTGGGCTCAGCCAGCAGCCAGAGGCCTCTCGTTCCTGTTGGGATGGCATCCCTGGCCCTCTCACAGCCAGACTCACCTTGTGGCCATGGTGACCTGGTTCCTCAGCCCCACCCCAGGGAGCTGGGTCAGCGATGTTCCTGGGCTTTAGGTAAATCCCTGTGGGAAGAGCACATCCCAGCCCTGATCTCAGGGGGCCTGGGACCTGCCTCAGCTGTGCCCCCAAGCCTCAGCCACCTTTACCTGCTCAGCCCAACCTCCAAGGCAGGAGAGCACATCCTCTGAGTTGCCCACAGGGCAGGTGCACAGGTGGAGAGGGGCCCTGTGATACTGCAGCCTCAGCCACCGTAAGAGAGGAGGGGTCCTGGAACCTCCACCTACTGTTTCCACTCTGCAGTGGGGACCAGGGCCCAGTGATGTCCATGCCACTCAGCAGACCAGGGTGGGGACCACAGACTCCAACAGGAGCCACCAGCCTGCCTTGGAGAAGATCTCCTGTTCTCTGCTACAGATGCAAAATCTCCCTGAAAGTTTCTCTGAATGGAAATGTGAGCTTTCTGCATCACTGTGTCTGGTCACAGCCCCATGCTCTCCCCCTCCCTTTCCGTGGGAACCTCTGAGCCCTCTGGGTGACTCGATGGCCCTCCCAGGCCAAAGCCACCACCTTGGAGCAGCTGCACCTCTGGGATGTCAGCTGTCACCTCCAGCAGGCCTGCACCCCACCTTTGGACTGAGACCTGAGTCCTCTGCTGCTCCCGTGCAGATTGGCTGGGAGCTTCTGCTTCCTTTGACTGTTCTGTGCCAACCCTGCCTGGGCAGGGATGGCAGGGCCAGGCCTCCCTATGCCTGGGGCGGCAGAGACGTGGATCTTCACCCAGAGACAACCCACTGTGACCTTGTCCCATCCACTACCCTTTCTGCAGCTGGTCTTCTGCTTGCTGCTCTTTGTGGCCCTCCTTCCTCCCTGGGACAGCACAGGGTGAAGCCCATGGCTTTGATATCAGCCTAGTTTCCTCTCTTCACACTGTGGCTGTGGGTACATTAGTCGACTGCTCTGAGCCTCAGTTTCTTCATCTGGAAAATGGGGCCTCTAGGGGTAGAATGAGGATTAAATGAGAAAATGTGTATAAAGCGCCTCACTATCATTATTGGTCTTTGTGTTTCTGTCCATAAGAATTCTCCCTGCAGACTGTGATGGCTGGAAGTCAGGGCCTCTTCTGCCTGTCTGTGCCCTTGGAATGTATGTAAGACTCAGCCCAGAGATCGCCTCAGTAAATATTTTAAGAATTAGTACATAAATAGGGGGTCACCCTAATGCATGGGAGATCTAGGATTAGTAAGATAAAGGCCAATGTGAGGTTATGTATATTTTGGTTTTCATTTACAATTCCTAGCTCGATACTCCTTCTCCAAGCCGGGCCTTAGAAAGTAGAACTTCTTTCTCAGAGCAGGTCATGGAAATGCTGATCTTCCCCTACCCCTCCGCCTTGAGGTCAGCCAGAAAGAAATTCTCTGATCTACCCTTGTTGAACAGGAGGTCAAAGACCCTCCTTGCTCCAGAGGGCTCCTGCCCTGTACCCGGGAGGGAGGAATGCTGCCCTCAGAAGCCAAGAGAAACTGCGTGGTCAGGTCTTGCAAGGTTTCCCACCCAGTCTATCAGTGACGTCCCCATGATACCCAAAGGACAGGGCTTGCAGAGCTTTCCTCCATACAGCTGGACCTGTGGAGGTTCCTGGAGAGTGGCACCTCAGAGAGGGCAGAGGCCCTAGTCTCCTTGTCACTCCTCCCCATGCATTTCTTTGTCTATATCCTTCAAAATAAACCAGCACCAGGCAGAGCTCAGTACCTGGATGGAAGATGGGTAAGAGGCTCCTACTGAGTCTTCTGCACAGTTTGGGGTGACACCACCAGCCTGGGTTGGGGACAGATGCCACCTTGCCCTGCCTGGAGAATCTGTGGGGCCCACAGCCTGACCTCAACATCTTGGCTCTAGGCAGACAGATATGGATAAAGCTGACCCAGCCCAGATCCCCATGGAGCAGGGGGGCCACTGGGTAACTCCTCCACCCCAGGACAGCCTCCTGTGACAGGGATACTGTTGAGCTCAGACTCCTGCCACTACTGTACCAGAAGGCTGAATTTCTCTCATCCTCCCTCCTGTACTGTAGCTGGGAAAGCTGAGGTCCAGAGAAGGGAGGAGGCCCCCAGATCTGCCAGCAAGTTGGTGGTTGGGCCCAGTCTTTGCACCACAGATGCTGGGCCACTTTGGGCTCCACTGTCCCTGGCATTTGACTGGCCACTTCCTGTCTGCACATTCTTGCCTTCTTCCATAAGTTTAACTATTCCTTCGAAAGTCCCTCCAAGAGGGAAACCAGACATACCTCATCAGCCCACCTCCTCCTAGGCCTTCCTTTGCCTCTGCCAGGGTTGTTTTCCTTCTGCCATCTCTTTACCTCCATACAGGCTGCTGAGGGCTCACCCTGGCACCTGCTGGGGCCTCCCCAGTGCCTCATGCCTCCCCCAACGCAGGGCGGCCCCTCCTCTTTCTAGCTGAACCCATCCTGGGCCTCCGAAGACTGCTCTGGACTCTGGGCCTGTGCTTTTCACCTGTAAACTGTGCTTCCTCCCAGACATCTCCTTCCTCAAAGAAGCAGTAATGCTGGTGGGCAGTCTTTCAACTTCAAACACAGTCGTGGCTTACATTCTAACAGAGGCACCAGATGGGTGACGTAACAGACAGTAGAAATACACATCTTGGCACCCATCTCAAAGATGCCCCAAGAACCCCCAAAATACTCAACTCCAGATCATGAGACATCTTTCTCTCTTGAGGACCCATGCTCTATTTCTTTGAGTGTGTACTTTTACATTTCTGCCTAATAAATCCCTTTATCTCTCTTATTGGCACAACATAAAATTTCTTTTTCTGAGATGGGACCCAGTGAACCTACAACTCAATTCTACGAATCAGGTGAGTCTAGCTTCCTTATCCTGGTGACAGCCCCCTCGGATCCCGTTGGTGATGCCTGCTGACAGTGGTCAGGAGAGTCATTACTGCTGGGTGAGGGGCTCTTGACTGTGAGGGAGCAGAAGGGAGCCTTCCAAGGTGCTGGAATGCTCTGGGTCTTATATCTTGTTCTGGGTGGTATTATACAGAATATATATTCATTTAGTTGACCAAGTAAAATAAAGTTTTATAGCCATATCAGGTCTCTGAGCTCTCACATAAATTGGAAGGTTTGGCTTGGATGGAGGCCTTCTAAGAATTATGATGACGATATTTAGGGAGATTTATGTATCTGAGAACCTCAAGCCCAAAGACTAGTCACGCTTCTCTAGTCAGCATAATTAACCTTCTTTCCTGGACAAATGAGCTGTTTCTAACTCTAGAGAGCTGTGTTACAAACTTGTAAAGAGTAGAAGGTGACGGCCAATTTTCTATGCACCATCCTGCCACCCTTCACTGCCCCGGGGCAATGACCTCATCAATCCCCAGAAGGGAAATCTGATATATCAAAATAGTTGCAGGGGCCAGGGATGTAGCTCAGTGGCCGCTCATCTGCCTTATAAGCTCAAGGTCCTGAGTTTGATCCCCAGTATAGGAAAAAAAAATTTGCAAGTTTTAACCAATTTATGTTAACAAAACCCCACCGAACCTATAGGAATTGATTGTGCAGGCTCTAGGCCCAGAGGGCAGGAATCAATTTAGCTCAGACCAATTTCTTCATCTGCGCTGGCTTGGTTGCCCACACTTTGCCTTCTGGAGGTTTAGCTCTCGCATTCAGGAAGAGCTCTAAATGTTCACGCCATTGACTAGCTACACTTGAACTCAGTGGTAGCCTGGGGTAAATGAAATCTAATGGTATAAATTTCCTGGCAGGAAGGAATCCAAACACTTAGAATATTCAAACAAGTCATCCACAGCCTATGTTCCTGATCCAGGTCCAGAGGGACACATGTTCTCCAAGTTTGGGAGAAGATAGCTAGATATAGGCAGGGTGACCCATCTTGGAGCCCACTTTCTGGGCTCAAACCACCATCTGAGTTCAATTTTACCCCTTGGCCAGAGGTGCTGTTTTGGCACCACCACCACCACCCAACTCCTGTGGGCTTTGGGTGCCATGACAGTTTCTCCTGGGGCCATAAAAGGTCAAAAACTCCACCACCCAATGGACAGCAAAGTCAAGCTGCTCATTGGCAAGAGTGAAACCTCACATCAACCCTTCAATCCCACCCCGAACTCCAGTGCTTGAAACCCTCAGGACCAAACCTCCTTTTCTCACTGACCCACTCCCACCCTGTGAGTGGTTTCATTTTCAATAAATCTTTGATCTTGCTGCTGCTTTCAAATGTCCTGCTCAATTCTTTGCTCAGGACACCAAAAACCTAGATAAGACCCCTGATCCGTTAACACAAAGATGGAGAAATGCATTGAGAATCACATCAATGTTCCCTTGAGCCCTAGTATCTTTGAAAAGTATTGTTTAGCAGATAAAGGGGGAAATTCTGCCATTGAAATGGGCTTTCTGACTTAAAAGAAAAGATAAGGTCCTGCAGCATAGCACAGGCCAAGTCGAAGCATGCAGCCCTAGAGGCAAGCAAGGAGAATATGGTCACCATATGGAACAGCAGGGTACAAAAATGGCTGGGCCTTCAGGGATTGGTGGTGTGGCAATTGACCATGAACTCTCAGACAAAAATTGGTGTACAGCCTCCTAAGACTGTACTGATCTGTTTAATCCAAAAGTAGTACAGTTAGAAATAATGGAGCTGAGAGAGTCAGTCCCTTCCCTCCATTTAATTCTTTTTTTTCCCAGTATCAGGACTTGAACTCAGGACCTTGCACTTGCCAGGCAAGCACAGTGCCACTGGGCTATATCCCCAGCCCCCCTCCATTTAATTCTAAACAGCACCCTATGGTTAGTCTTGCTTCCATTGTCCTAAAAGGGGTAGAAAATAAAATAACAAAACCTAGACAATTTCTAATGCTCTAGGTGAGAGCACATGCATGTTGGATCTCCAAGCCTGAACTTCTGGTCACCCTTACCCTATGCCCACCTCATTACAGGTTCATAAATATGTACTACATGTTATAATTAAGATCAGAGTGAATGCTGGGACAATCATGCATGTTCAGAGACCCTATGATGACTCAGCACCCTGTCATCCAGGGATTTAGCTCAGTGGTACTGCTCCTGCCTGCCAAGCACAAGGTCCTGAATTCAATTCCCAGAACAACAACAACAAAAAATTCCCTGACAATCACACCTGGAGATATAAGAGGAGGCACCTAAGCAGAGGTGTCTGGCCTTTAAATTTCAAAAGCCTAATTCTTTATCCATGCTTTTTGTTGCTCTGATGCTGTTGCTGTTGCCACTATTGTGTGCTTTGACCTGTGTGCAGTCACTTTCTGTTACCGCGCACCTTTCTAGGTCTCTGCTATATCTTTTGTTGGCATGGATTTGCCCTGAGCACAACTTCCCGTGATCTTCAATAAATGTAGCTGCTTGCTACTGACTGGTGGGTGTGCACTTGGCAATTCTTTGGCTCGTTCCACAGGAACAAAAGGAAACTCTTTGTCTACCCAATAACTTTTAAGATAAAAGGTAAAAGGCAGTGAGCCATATTTTAAACCATCATAAATCATAATAAAGTAATAGCATTATTTTTTCCAGCTTTATTAGGATATAATTAACAAATATATTTACCCAGATGTGGTGGCCCATACCTATAATCCCAGGACTCTGGGAGGCTGAGTCATGATAATCGAAAATTTAAGCCCAACCTGGGCAATTTAGTGACTTAGTGAGACCCTGTCTCAAAATTTTAAAAAAACAATTTTTGTAAAGGTCTGGGGATTTAGCTCAGTACAAAGGGCCTGGGTTCAAACCCCAGTACAGAAAAAAAAAAAAAAGCAAGCAAATATTTAATGTATACAACTTGACATTTTGATACACATTGTGAAATAATTATTAATATCAAGCCAATGAATGTAATTAATATATCTATTATCTCACATACTTACCTAATGTGTGGTGAGAACATCTAAGCAAATTTTAGCAAATTTCAAATACAAAATACATTATTAAGTATTGTCCCCATGTTTTCACAAGTGACAAGACAGCCTTCTGTTTTGTTTTGTCTTTCCGTTTGTCTTCCTTTTATTTTGCTTTCTGTGGTGTTGGGGAACTAATTTCCTTTTTATGAGGCTGAATAATATCTATACATATATCACATTTCCTTTGGTCATTCACTAATGGACATTTAGGTGGCTTCCTTAGCTTGATATTGTGAATAATGGTGCAGATGTTCTTCAAGATACTGATTCTGGGGCTGGGGATTTAGCTCAGTGGTTCCGCCACCTGCCTCGGAAGCACAAGGACCAGAGTTCAATTCCCAGTACCAAAAAAAAAAAAAGATACTGATTCTGTTTCCTTTGGATATATAGTCAGAACTGGGATTGGGGGATATACATTTTAATTTTTTTTCTAGTACTGAGGATTGAACCCAGGGCCTTTGCACTGAGCTACATCCCTAACCCTTTTTATTTTTTATTTTGAGACAACGTCTTGCTAAATTGCTAAGCCACACCTGGGTCTAGTTTTACATTTTTAAGGCATTTCCATGCTGTTTTCCATAATGATTTACTAATTTATATTCCCATCAATACTTTATAAAGGTTTTCTTTTCTCTACAACCTCAACCACACTTGCTATCTTTTGACTTTTTTTTATTCTTTTATTGGTACATTTTAGGTATACAATGACTTTTTAATTTCTGCCATCCTAATAGGTGGGAGTTGATATCTTATTGTTATTTTAATTTGCATTTCCCTGAAAACTAGTGATCATGAACATTTTTAATCGCCTGACAAGAGTTTGTTTTATTTTAAGAAATGCATATTCAAGTGCTTTCCTGGTTTTCCATCTGTTTATTTGTTTTCTTACAAATTATTAATTTAGCTAAAATCATGATGAAATACATTGGGAGGGCTGGAGAGAGGAAGTAGAGAAATACAAAAGAACTAAAGATCAGGCCTCAGACAGAAAGTGATCATGTTTTTTTTAAAGCATCAAATCATGAAATAGTGTCACAAAAGGTGATTTGGAAATATTGAGAAAATACCAAGGAAATGCCTACAATATCTAAAAGGGATTGCCTCTGTGAGCCAAAACCAGGAGATGAAGAGACATACTGGGGAATCTTTTTGACAGACCTCAACTGTGCTGTGCATCATTCAGATCTGAAATTTGTGTGAAGCTAAAGGTTAAAAAAAATCACAAAGGCCTTGCAGAGCTGTGTTCTTCTCACAAACCTCTCCCTATGGCAGCCTCCAGCCTCCAGCCACCTGCAGATGGGGCTCCCTCCATCCACGTTAGCCCTGCTCTGAGCTAAACATCCCAGATCCCTCAGCCTGTCTTCCTCCTTCTCACCTGGAGGTGACATAACTCAGCCAGGGTCACACAGACAGAAGTGTCACAGTCCAGCATCATGCCTCAAGGCTTCTTTGACAGACAACACAACAGGGATGCCCTTAGGGTGGGGCCTGTTGGCTCAGTTTCCTGGGTGACCCTAAAAGAGGCTGGAGAGAGTCATTGCAGAAGGATCTTCCCAGATCCACTTCCACCTGAGGAAGCACACAGAGCGGAAGTCCCCCATTCTCCACCCCACCCTGCCACTGTCCACCCCTACCTCGGGCAGGATTGGGCCCTTCCCTCTCTGGAGTATGTGCAGACTCAATCCAACATCACAAATGGGCACTTTCATGATTTCAGCTGAGGGGAGACTCTGATTCCCACTTTTTAGATGAGCAGATTGAAGTTACGAGAGGGCAGATGACTTGCTTGAGGCACGTGATTGATACAGCACAGCTCTTGGCTTCAGTGCCTGTGTTCACAGGTTACTGAGGTTAAGCATGGTGACTCTGGTTTGTAAGGTATGGCCCAAGTAACAGCTGCTTCCCTGGGTTATCATGAAGTCAAATGAGGTCGGTCACACAAAACCCCTGGGACTATTGCTGGGATCTCATGATGCACAGTGCCTCTCATTTTAACTCATCATGATGGTGAGGTCTTAGCAGGGCCTGGAAGATGCTTCAAACCAGGGTTTGGCTGTTGCCCGTGGAAGCTCTTATGAGAACCTGATGAATACTAACATCTGTAATTTTAGTGGGAGATTTAACCCTCTTCTCTTGGAACAAGAAAACATAGTAAACATTAAGGAAACTACAGCAGCAGCTGTTCCTGATGATGATGATGATGATGATGATGATGATGATGATGATGATGATTATGGTGATGACAATGTCAAAGGTCAAAAGACTTCGAAAGATGATGAAATCCAGAAGTCCTGAAAAGCGCTCTGGGCTGACCCTCTGTGTTAACTCAACAAAATTCATGGATCTTCATTCCAGAAAAACACATGCATAAATAATAATTCAAAGGTTGAGAGTTGCTGGTTGCATCTAGCCCCTCCAATTTTATTAGTGAAAACTAGAATGAAATGTAGATAAAAGATCTGAGGGAAAGACTGTCAATTGATTAATGTACTCATAGACTCTAGGGAGGCACCTAGCATCTTCTATGCACAAGACATTGAATAACTAATAACTGTTCCTCCTTCTTCCAGAAGCCCAGGACCTCTAGAATGTGAGCAGAACAGCCAACAGATTCAGCTCCCAATGGGGATTGATAAAGTTTTGTATGCTCATAGCCTATTGCAGAAGAGAGGGCTGAGTCCACTGAGGGTGGTGGGAGAAGACTTGGAGAGGAGAAGTATAAATCAGACCTTTAGGGACAGGCCAGCAGAATCATTCAGATATGAACAACCAGGATTCATCTAGACCATGAAGGACGAGGGTGGAGAGAATGAAACTGCATGCTGACAATGGGCAAATGGCTGGATGGGAAGAACTGGAACCTCTGGTGACATCCTTGAACCAACTCTGGCCAGATGTGTGAGAATTAAATGTCTTTATTATTTAAGCCACTGCTGGTGGGGTTTATGTTACTTGCAGCTGAAATTCTCAAAACTAATACACTCAAGAAGTCATAACAAGAAGTCAACAAATAATACATAAGATGATGAATCAGGAAAGAATAGCACAAAAGCACACTTCATGAATAGGAAAGAAAATAAAGAAACAAGTCTTCTGGGGAGAAAGACTGGGAAGTGGTTCTCAGTCTTAGGTGGATTTTTAAAATCACTGGGACTAATAAAAATTCAGATGCCCAGGCCTCTTCCAGCCTGGTCACATTAGCTCCTGGAAGGGTGGGTTTTGTAAAAACATCACCAGTTTCCAGACAAGGGTGAGAACTGCTAGTCCAGATGAGGAATGTGGGGCAATTTTGCTGATTTGCATTATCTTTTTATATTATTTAATACTATTTTAGGTGTATCTGTATGGTTTGATTTAAAATTTAAAAGGCAAAAAAAAATTAAATATGGAGTGCACTGCAGAAGGAAAAGAAAAACCTTTCTCCATGGGAGTCTTTAGCCACCTGCAGATGGAGCTATCTTCACCCACGTTAGCCCTGCTCTGGGCCAAATGTCCCCAGTTTCCACGGGCAGTGTGGACCTCCCCTTTCTCACTTAGAGGTCACGTAACTCACCCCACATCATCATACAGGGGTGTCACAGTCCAGTGTCATGACTCAGGGCTTCCGTGACCGACAGCAGAACAGGGATGCCCTCAGGGTGAAGCTTGTGGGTTCCTGTGCTGTGACTCAGTGTCCTGGGGGATCGCCAGGAGGCAGAAAGACAATGTCATCCTGGGAGGATTTTCCCACACCCACTTCCACCTGGGGATACTCCTTGGGACAGAGCTGCCCCCGCAACTCCAGGCAGGACTTCTGGGACACTTTCAGCAAACACTGGACCTCGCCAGAGTCTGGTGGGAAGAGGTGAATGAGACTGGTTTCAGCTGACCCGAGTCTATGGGCTAAATCAAGGATGGGGGCCATGGAGAGCAAGGTAATACTGTTCTTATTTTATGGGTGGGGATATTGAAGTTCAAACTTTCGATGAAGGTACAGGTGTGTCTCAGAGGTAGAGCCTAGTATGCACAAGGCCCTGGGTTTAATCCCCAGCAACCCCTCCTCCAAATTTACATGACTTTGTGATGACACAGCTGCTGTGGAACATGATGGTGAAGTTCATGGAAACTGCAGCCAGGGCTAGGGATTTAGCTCAGTGGTTTCGCTGCCTGCTGCGCAAGCGCAAGGACCCAAGTTCGATCCCTGGTACCAAAAACAGAAAAAGAAAGAAACTGCAGCCAAACTGCTTAGGTTTGAGCCAGCTCTGCTGCTAATCTGGGCAAGTACTTGATCATTCTGAATCTTTGTTCCTCCTCTGCCAAACAGGGCAGACTAACATGTGCTGCTTCTCAGGGTTGGTGTAAGGACTGAATAAGCCAACACATACGCAGGCTTCACAGATGTTTCTCCTTCTTCCTGAAACCCTTTCCTCCCAACCTGGCAAGCTGCTGTTCTTCTCCAGGGTTCAATTCAAGAGACCACACATGGTCATCCTTAGTGCTGTCCACCATGCCCCTTCAGCACATGGTAAAATTACTCCCTTACTGAATGTATTAGCTTTCTTCTCCCTGGGACACAATACTCAATACCCACAATTTAAAGGCAGGCAGGTTTAATTTGACTCACAGTTTCAGGGGATTCAGTCCATGATTGGCTGGCTCCAAGGCAGAACATCATGGCAGAAGGGCATGGTAGAAAAAAAAGAGGTTTTGGCTATGGCAACTGGGAAGCCAAGCAGAGTAACAGAGCCAAACAAGAAAGGTCAGGGGACAGATACAGTGCCTAAAGTCACATCACCATGATCCACCCCAGACACACTCAGAAGTGCGCTTTACTAATCCTCTAGGCAGCTCCCAAACCAGTCAAGTTGAAAATTGACCTTAACCATCACATTAAATCAATCAGCTTAAGCTAAATTATGCTGTGGAAACAAATGATCCCCAAATCACGGTAGTTTATAACTACAAGGATTGATTTCTCACTCGTGCTGTGTGCCAGCTTGGCTCTGTTCCGTCATTTCCAGGACCCAGGCTGGTTGCACATGTCTACTCAAAGATCAGTAGCCAAAGCAAGACACATGGCTAAATCTGACGTAAATGAGCAGAGAATTGCAATCTTCCAAAGGTGAGTGTGGCCGTGTGACTTGTCAACATGGATGAGTATGACTGGAGTGTGTCCCTTAGTTTTATGTGCTGGAAACTTGGTCCCCAGTATAACATTATGTGAGAGGGCAGAAACCTTAAGAGGCAGAGCCTAATCCCAGACACACCAGAGGCTGAGACAGGAGGATGACAAATTCAAGGCAACTGAATGAGACTCTTTTTCAAATTAAAATACAAAGGGCTAGGGGTGTAGTTCAGTGGTAAAATGCCCATAGGTTCCATCCTCAGGGGCACTAAATACATACATAAATAGGCAGAGCCTAACCGGAGGTCAGTGGGGTTCTGTCCTCAGAAGGAATGAATGCTGGTCTCCCAAGACCCCGGTTAGTTCTCGTGAGAGAGTTGTTATAAAAAGCCAATTGGCCCCTCCTGCTCTCTGGCTTCCTGTCTTACCACATGATCTCTGTCACAGCGCATTCCAACTGCGATGCCTCCTTTCATGAGATCTTCACCAAAGCCAGCACCATGCTGTTTGGATTTTCAACCTCCAAAACTGAGCTAAATAAATCTCCTTCCTTTATAGAGTAACATTCTCAGGTATTTTGATATAAAACAGAAAAGATCAATACTGTAAGTTGTTTTGGCTAAGGAAGCCTGAGCTGACGAGATACATTATTCCCAGTGAAAAGCTTATGAGCCAGTGTTGGTTCACCACACGCTCTCTCCACCTCTCAGGAGCAATCGTTGCATGTGGCTGCTCTGTCCAATGGATCCTCTGTCCACCTAGTTCCCAGCCAACCCTTCATGGACTCGTAGACCTTCTTGTTTCAAGTACTGAAATGTGAGGGTCATTTGTCACTGCTGCTGAGGCTGACCCATCTGGCTTAACCAATTCATATATCCTTTGAGACTTCCCTTTCCTTCAGGGAGCAGTGGGAGGAGCTCAGCACTGGCACCAGGCATTGACCTGTCAGGAATCTACCTGGAGCACTGGCTTTAAGGAGCATTAACACACCATAGGAAGTATAAGAGAGATAGAAATATGGCATTTCCAGGATTTCTCTACAGGAACATACTCTGGGTGGTTCATTCACTCATTCAACAAGTATTTATTGAGCACTTATTATGGATTAGGAGCGATGTAGGTATGGAGGAAATAGCAATGAACAAGTCAAAGCCTCCCTCCTCATGCGAGTCACATTCAGATGGAAGAGACTCAGGATAAGTCTCTTTGGAGGAGAGGTGACCCTCTCAAAGATGTCCTTGAGTCTGGGTAGTATGAAGGCTTTTGCTCTGCCAAGCAAGGCACGCAGGTGTTGAGAGGAGCTGACCAGCTACTACCAGAGAGGAAACACCAGAGGGACACCAGAGAAGGTAGGGAACAGCGGCATCTAGTGTCACAAATAGTCTCTGCACACTAGATATGTAGAAAATAACAAATGGGAAGGCATGAACATGTCTGGCATTTTCTCTAAAGGTTTCTTATATATATATATATGCAATTTTTTTTGAGACAAGGTCTTGCTGTATAGTTCAGGCTGACCTTGGACAGCACTCCTCCTGTCTTAGCCTCCCAAGTGCTGGGATTACAGGCATTCGGCCCCAAGCCTGGCTTTTTTTATATTTTCATCAACCTAATTTTCTTTATCTCAGTTTCACTATTTGAACCTTCTTTCTTTAAAGTTCCTTTTGGGCCAGGGATTTAGCTCAGTAGTGCCTCTGCCTGCCTCCCAAACCCAAGGTCCTGAGTTTGATCCCCAGTACCAAAAAAAAAAGGTTCCTTTTAATGCCATTACTTGTTGCTTTGTCATAGAACATGTCTTCGGTGGACTTGAGTTTTTAAGGAAACACAATGCTGAACACCTCAGGTGTTATAAAATACACACTCCCTTCAAAGTGGACAGGGTAAAAGGAACAAAGAGAGGTAAAGAGTGACACATCAGAGACCCCCACAGAGACAGAGGGCTAACAAACTCCTGTACCCCTAACCTGTTACTGATTAAACACATGACTTGTGTTTTCTTTTGAGGCTGCCAGCAACCTAGAGGCAGATACTCAATGGGTAACTAAAAGCAGGATAAAGCTTGGCATCTCCACCTTCATTTTACTTCTCCTTACTTTCTAACTCTGCCTACCAAATCTGCAGACCTCAGACAGACACTTCCTGAAATTCTTTTTCTGTGGAGAGTGGGGTTGGAGGGCAGTTGAGGTTCCTGTGTCCTCTTTGGGGGAACTTCTCAGACCCCATCAGTGATGAAACCACTTAAGGATGGGAGAAAAGATAGTCAGTGTTCAAACCTCTATGTCATAATATATAGTTGTTATAACATATAACAAATATGTCACATCTATAATTTATGTAATACAAAATTTCACCTTGAAAGTTTATGTGAAACTCTTTCTATGGCTTCTCTCATTTTCACAATACTATTTGCATTTCACTTAAGAATACAGTTTTAGCTGGGCAAGTCCTGACTACTCAGGGGATTGAGGAGGGGGATCATGTGAGCCCGTGAGTTCAAGACCATCTTGAGCAACATAGTGAGACCCCATCACAAGAAAAAAATATATATACAAGTTTAAAGGCTCCTAAGGATCCTCCTCCCTTTCCCTTTTCAAGACTTTCACCTTCTGCAACAACAATGGTCCCTGGGTCATTAAAGCATCCTCTCATTTTATTTTAGCTTTGGGTGTTGACTTAGTCTGCCAAGGCAAAAATTTCCGTGAAGAACTGGGTAGTCAAAGTTTCAGAATGCAAAATGTGTGGTTTTTAAAATAATTGAACATCTAGTAACACTTGAATTATTCAAGATGTTTTGCTTTGATCTTCCTGGCAGCCACAGATCTGTGGGGGGTGGGGGGCACATAGAATCCTCATCTCCCTCCTGGCCGGGGACAGATACGTTTAGAGATGAAGTCTCCCTCCACGCCTCTCCACTCTGGCATACTTGTTCTTGTATAAGAGTGGTCTACTTGAATCTAATCAAGCTGGTTGACACGCATCCCAGTTTACAGAAAATTCGGGAGATGAAGTGAAAAATTAACTGACATCAAGAGGAAACAATCAGGCCAATTCAGATTACTGGGCTATTATGCAATTCCACCCTTCCAGCCTCTCAGGAGGGAGCAGGAGGGAGGTCATTAAAGAGAATTCAGACACATAACAATTTGCTGCGATGTGTGGTTAATGTAAAATTAGAGCCTACTTTGAAAACACTGGCTAGACAGGACATTTGGGGGGAAATTGAGAATTTGTATATGGGCTGTTTTTCAGATGAATTGGGGGATTACTGTGACTTGTTTAGGTGGGATAATAGTGTTGTGGTTATGTAGGAGTGTGTCTTTTTTTTTTTTTCTTCATTTTAAGAGGTGCGTGCTGAAATAATCAGCATGTCTTTACTTGGAAATATTCCTTCTCATTGGTGGGGTTCCCTCTTCTCAGGTCTTCATTGTTCACCCCAGGGCCTTTCTCAGTCCCACCATCTGGGAGGGGGGACTGGGGAGGTCCCAGCAGTCTGGGCACAGGGACATGGACAGAGGCGGAATGAAAGGCCTGAGAGTGGACTCAGGAATGGAGGAGTCTGGGCCTGTCCTCAGCTTGCCAAGAAAGCCCTCAGTGCCCCCACCTACTCCCCATCTCCAGCCCAGCCTCCTCCCAAGCACCCCACTTCCATCAGGCCTTCCCTGCTTTCCAGGGACCAGCGCTCGGAGCCCTGGGCCTGAGGTCCAGCTGCATCTCACCCATTCCCTGCCAGTCCACCCTGGGACCATCCATCTTCTTACTCCCCAACTTGGGGCCCGTCACAAATGTCCTCTCGCCACAGCCAGACTTAGT